CCCCCCCCCGGCTCCGCAGCTGCCCCAACTTCTCGCCCGCCGAGTTCCTCAGGGAGTCCCAGGTACAGCCGGGGGCTCGGCCCCGCAGCCCCTCCAGCCGGGGGCACGTCTTGAGGGGGGCACAGGGCACTCAGGAACCCGCCAACACCCCTCGGGACCACTGAGCCCCCCCCCAGGGACATGAGAACTCCAGGGACCCCAACACCAGGACACCCATGGGGACCACGCTCACCCACCCCACAGGGACCCCAAATCCAGAGGGTCCCCCCCAAGTTACTCACTGGGCCGTGGAGTAGGGGGGTGCAGAGGGTCTCACCTCCCCCCCCGTGGGTGACTTTGGGGTGCCTGCGCCCCTGCTAACCCCTCGGGGTGCCCCGGGGCTCCCCAGTGCCCCCCAGTACCATGTTGAACTGGTCCTCCTCGCCCTCGGCCTCGCTGCCGTCGCGCGGCTCCATCGGCACGTTGTGGATCCGCACGAGCATCTTGGCGGCCGCGTTGCGCTTCGCCAGCTTCTTGGAGGTGCCGCTGCCTGGGGAGGGGGGGCCCAGCGCCCTGGGGTGAGCCAGGACACCCTGCCCCGTCCCCACAGACACCCCGGGGGTCCCCGTGTGCCCCCTGGCCCGCGGCTCACCGATCTCCACGAAGCGCTCCACGCGGCACGTCATGGTGAACTCCTTGCGGTGCGCCGGCCCCGACTCCTGGGTCACCGTGTACTCGGGCAGGCGCCAGCCCTTCTGCACCACCAGCTCCTGGGGACAGCGGAAATTGGGACAGGGACACCCCCTGAACGGGGACACCGCCCCAAAAGGGGCCGGCAGCACCCGAAATGGGGATAACCGGCCCCAAAATGGGGATAACCGACCATAAAACGGGGATAACTGTCCCCAAGCAGGAACAACGGGTCCCAAAACGGGGTTAACCAGCCCCAAAACAGGGATAACTGTCCCCAAACAGGAACAACGGGCCCCAAAATGGGGTTAACCAGCCCCAAAACGGGGATAACTGTCCCTAAGCAGGAACAACGGGCCCCAAAACGGGTGTCACCCACCTGCAGAGCCCCCACGGGGTTACACTCCGACTGGGGAGGGGACACGGGTGTCTTCATCTCCAGGGGGGGCCCCCTGTGGGGAGCAGAGGGATGAGGGGGGCACCCCACACCCCCCCTGCCTTGGGGGGCACAGTGGGGTAACAGGTTGCTGGGATGGAGGGTTTGGGGGGACACACTGTGCCCCCCATGCCCATCCTGGCACCGGGTACCCCCCCGTTACCTGGGCGAGGGAGGGGGCACGGCAGGGGCTGGGGGGGCGGCGGCAGGGCCGGGCTCAGCCAGGGGCTCTGGGGGGAAAGGAGAGCTGGGGGAGAAAGGGGAGATGTTAAAGCCTGAGCTGGCACCCCCTGAGCACCCCCAGACCCCCATGGGCACTCCTGTACTCCCCAGACCCCCACGGGCACCCCCAGACCCCCCCTCGTACCCTCACTTCCCCCCAGACCCCCTTGGGTACCCCCAGACACACCCTGGGCACCCCAGACCCCCACAGGCACCCCTGAACCCCTTGGGTACCGCCAGACCCCCACGGGTACCTCTGTACCCCCTTGGGTACCCTCAGACCTCCCCAGACCCCCCTGGTACGCTCACCCTGTCCAGGCACCCCCAGAACCCCGTGAGTACCCCCAAACCCCCATGGGTACCTCTGTACCCCCTTGGGTACCCTCAGACCTCCTCAGGCACCC